ATATATATATATATATATATATCCCTTTTTTTCTTTCATATAAACTTAGTGTTTCAACCAAGGTGGGTCAGACACAACCAAGGTATATGACACATGCTGCCCGGTGTGTGTACTGTAATGTAGTGTAGTATGTGTGTATGTGTTTGCCTATTCGTGTATGTGTATGGATACGTGCACGTGTGTTGCAACACGGCGCCAGCGGAGTCCGGCGATGTTCGGGCTGCATTATAACACACATCGCACAACATCATAATAGTCGTCTTCTCACACTCATCAGTTTTATCATCATCTCATCATCATCATCGTCGTCGTCGTCGTTTTGTGTCCGAACATCGCGTTCCAGACCGACACGACTTGGCCGACGTCCTGTACAGAATAGTTTTTCTTTTTTATAATCGCGCAGCGTACTCTCCGCGGACTCGCGCACGGCTGTTCGCCGCGATCACTACACCAGCGGGTCGCACTTCTCTTGTTCCTGCCAACCGCCCGTCCCGGCCGTCTTCGACGCGAGAGAAACTGTCCGATGGGCTTCGGTTACACCGTCTTCATCTCTGCGCGTCCTTCCCGACCATGCTGGAGGGGGAACCCTGGCAAGATTCGCTTCGAAGCGAGCCTATGCGCGCTCCTGTGTCTAAAACCTCTCTCTCTCTCTCTCTCTCTCTCTTGGCGAGGCTTCCCTCCGTCCCACCGTTAGTCGGTGAAAGAGAACGAACGAACATCCCCTTCGTCGCCGGAGGGGAAGAGGGCTGGCGCGGGACCACCGCGGCTTCGAAGCTCGGCCGAACCTCGTCGGAGAGTACGAGCAGCGGGCAGCGCGCTAGCCAGCATATTAGCGAGCGCAGGCAGTGAGCAGTTCATACATACGTACGCTGTATAATCTGGTTACGAGACGAGCGAGAGCCATGTAGCCACCTTCCCCCCTCCCACCCTCTCTCTCTCTCGCTCACTCGTTCGCTCTACCTGAAAGCCGGATGGAGCCATGACCCTGGCTGCGCGCGGTTAGCTGTGCCGCTGTGCGGGAGAACGAGGAGACTCGACGAATTCCCGCCCGACGACGCCCATCGTCCCCGAGGAATCGATTCGTCCCGTGGCCTCGCCTGAGAGAGGCCTCCCTGTTGAGAAGAAAAACCAGGTGGGAGTCCACGTAGGAAATCCATACGGAGTCCCATGTATCCCTTGGGGATTTGCGCTAAAGACCCGGGTCCTAGATGAGGAATCCATGTGGATTCCTGTATGGATGCTTTACTATCCTGTGGATGGATTCACACGAGTTCCTACGGATTTTTGGTGGGAACCCACCTGGAAATTCATCAACAGGGCTCTCTCTCTCTCTCTCTCTCTCTCTCAAGAGACACATTTGACGATTCGGACGAAACTCTCCGTCTCCGCGTACAATACGAGAGAGAAACTTCTCATTTACCGAGGTATTTTCTCTTCACTCCTCGTCCTTGAATAATTTTTTCCTTTGCCAAGACGAGAGACACCTCGATCTTTAGGAATTTATTTATACGAGTCGGGACAACTACTAGTCGTCTTCCTCCTCCTCCTCGCTTTTCCGGGAATTCGTCTTTCGCCGAGTCGAGACTTCTGGTTCTAGGGGAACTCACTCACCGAGGGATAACCTCATGGACACCCTCGCGGCGAGTCTCGCGCGCACGCACAGCCGGCAAAGAGAGGAGACGGCAGAGAGAGATGTCTGCGGGCTCCTCCCGCGCCTCTTAATTACCTAAGTCACATCTAACAGACGTAGTTCCCCGCGGTTTCTTTCGCGAACGCGAAGCACTCTCTCTCTCTCTCTTTCTTCGTGCGGGTTTTCTTCATACACATGCACGCACACACATTCGCTCATTCTCGCCCCCTTGCTTTCTCTCTTCCTCTCCATCGCTGCTGCCGGTATCCGCCATTCACTCACTTTCATTCTCATTCATTTACTCATTCATACACTCTCATTCACTCATTTTCATACTCTCTCTCTCTCTCTCTCTCTCTCTCCCTTTCTCATCTACTCTCTCGCGCTTTATATTCTCTATGTTTCATTCTTCATATATTATATATAACAATATTTATACGATGATTTTTTTATGGATTCGAGTCACATGCAGAAAGAACTTTGAGTCGCTTCTTGCACAGATAAAAGGGAAGAAACAAAACGCTTTGGCTTTCGCGTAACTCTAAAGGGAGAGGGGGGGGGGAAGAAAAGACGTCGATAATTTAGCGTAGCGTATTGAAAATAAAAGAAAAAAAAAAGGATAGATAAACGGTAAGGGAAGAGAGAGAGAGGAAAATGGGAGAAACATGACAAGGAAGACGTAAAAACAGGAGGAGGTGGGGNGTTTTCATTTCGCTCGCCGTCTCGCCGCTATTACGGTTTTCTTCTTCCCCACACGTTGAGATCTGTTAGACTCGAGAGACGAACACAAGACGGACGCGCCATTTTTAAAAACGCGCGGCACAGCCGCGCCGTGCGTGTCACGCCGGTGCGCGAAGACGACACACGCTCTTGGTCGTCACGTCTTCGTCGCGTTCGTTCATTCATATATATATATATATATATTTATATATATATGCATATATAATATATATAAAAGTCAGATGACATAATGACACGCCCGGCCCCCGGTTTTATCCGCATACGCGTCTCTCTTTCTCTCCTTTCTTTCTCTCTGCAAGAGACCGGGTAGCATTCGCGCGATATCGACTAAGAACTAATCTACAAAAGAAAGGTAACAAATTCCCGGAAACGGGAACACTGCGTACAGGTTATAACCCAATCGACTCGCGCGCCTCGGTATCGACAGTGAAAGAGGCTTCGCGCTTCTTCTCTCTCCGCTCTTTCACTCTCTCCGACTCTCCTCCTTCCCTTCCCTTCTGCCCCTCACTCACTCACTCACTCACTCTCACTCACTCTCTCTCACTTCCTGTTTTCTCGATCCATTTTTCTTCCTTTGGAAAAGAACACGCGACGACGCTCGTAGACTTTTTAGGTCTCTGTTTCGCGTTCTCTCTCTCTCTCTCTCTCTCTCTCTCTCTCTCTCACGTCGCTCCTTCGCTTCACCTGTCCATCTTCTATGTGTGTGTCTTACGTCTTGCGCGTCTAATTGCTGTTGGTTCGCTCGCTCGCTCGCTCGCTCTCTTTCTCGCTCTCTCTACGACGAAGCTCAACGCGGCACGACGCACGCTCGGCGTTTTTTCGCTATGTTTGTATGTGTTTCTGTATATATGTGTATGTGTATATGTATGCGACACGCACGGGCGTACGCGTATGTGTAAGTGAGACAAGTGTGCGTGTGTGTACGATGGCACCACAAAATTTAGTAATCGTCTATCTCGCGTCCTTCCGTCTCCCACAGGTCGTTCTCCTCGGCTCGCGCTCGCGAGTCAACGTAGTTTTAGTATAGTCTCGCACTGATACATTGGTCATGGTGCGAGAGAAAAACTGGTCGATTCCGCTCGGATTCCGCGCGCCTCTCTCTCTCTTTCTCTCTCTCTCTCTTTTTCTTTCTCTCGTCGTCTAAACGAGATTGTACTCCTTCAGATTAGACTGCAGGATGGTGTCCTTCACCGCCGCAAACACGAATCTGATGTTCTCCGTATCTGCGTAACAGAGGAAAAAGGTGTTTGTAAACATCGAGCGGTTAAACCAGTGCTAGAATTACTTTTCTCTATTGTGTCAGTATAATTATCAGTATAATTAGTATATGTGAAAATAAAACAGATAATATATAAGAGCAAAATGCATTTCTATTCTCTCTCTCTCTCTCTCTCTCTCTCTCTCTGGACCCAACGCGAGGAAGACTTTACCTTCGATCGTGCGATGGACGGAAGTTTCATGCAGGAAGAAATTAGCTATCGAGTGGAGAAGAAGATAAGAGTCATATTCCACCAGACTTATATTCTACATCCCAAATGTGAGGAAGCTTCGAAACCTCAACAACCACGACACACATGCAGCATGCAATTCCCTCCGCAGACGCTTCGACAACAATGCATTATTCTCACACAGTCTCAAATATATATATATAATATAATGCGATAATTATCCCTTCTGCAGTTTCCGTTTAGTGGAGAAGCTCAACAAGAACGCAAACGTTAAATAGAATTTGGAGAGGCACGTGTTGGAATCCGCTACCACGTCGCCACGTAACGCATTCACCGGGAGGAACGTATCGCGCGATTCTCACGCGTGACTCTCCTTATTCCGCCTTCCGCGAGCACGAAGAAGCGGCCGAATCCCGTGCAATTAACCGTCGCAACCAAGAACACCAATTGCTCTTGTCTCTTTTATTCTCGTTACAAGCTCCTTTTAATATACACATATTTATATATATGTATGTATGTATGTATGTATATATAGGCGTATATTACTTAACGTAACGCAACACTTTTCGACGTCAACGGCACGGCTGGCAGTAGTGATTTTCTCTGAGGGTGAAGGGCGCGCCGATGTATTCGCGATATTCGCTTCGACGCGGCCGAACGAATCGCCGAGGATGACACAGACTCGAGCCGCGAGGAAGTTAACTTTAGCGAGAGAAAGAGAGAGAGAGAAGTGCGCGCGAAGAGAAACAACTTAATAACATTCCATAAATTTTCCCAAATCAAATAAACCAGCCGGAACGCCTACAAGCCGTTCTTCGTTGCAGTCTGCGTCTGGTCGAGAGGCATCACCTCGATCGTTACTACTTTTACAGCTGCAGACCGGGCTATCGCGCGCTACGAAAATGGAAGGATCGATGCAACGAGTTAAACGAACTCGATCTCAAAGTTGCGTACGGCCGACTAATCCGCCCCGATTCTCTCGCGCGAAATTCTCGTGTCTTTTAATCTGCCTGTGTTTGCGTGCGCGGAAATTATCGCAATTTCGCGCGCCGCCATCCAGTCACCGGGGACGACAGAGTGAAACAGCCATCGCTCCTTGGCAGAAAAGGTGACAAAAAGTGGCCGAAAGTAACTGGCTGGCTGCTATTTAGCTCAGCGGGGTGATCATGAAGTGATCCGAAACGTTATTGCGATCGTATTGATCTTCTCATCGGATGGAAAATAAGAGATAAAATAAATAACATATAAAAGAGAAAGATAAAATATGAGATATAAGACAAAAAACTCTCAAGATATACAATCAAAACGGAAAAGAAGAGAAATTTAATCGCGCCTTTTATCGGAGATAAAATTACTCGGATTTTGCACTTTAATCAATCTTGATAGCCGGGGGAACATCATACATGATACATATATAGTTTCAGTTTCGTTAATTATTTGCTGCTAATTAAACTAAATTAATAATTAAACTTCCTACGTCACATCATTGATCTCTCTCTCTCTCTCTCTCTCTTTCTCTTTCGATTTTCCTTCGATTTGCAGTTTGTGTAACAAAATTCGCGCAATCTTGAGACCTAATCTTTCTCAATATATACTACGTCTCGTTTCGCGAATGCGTGTGTGGCTCGAGTCTGCATGATTCTCGGCGCATCCGAGATTAACGGACCAATGTCGCAATGGGAATCTGCGCGCGGCGGCCGCGGAGACGCCTGACGCGGTGATTCGCGCGCTTCTAAGCGAGATTGAACTCCTTGAGCGCGGTTTGCATGATCGTATCCTTAACGGCGCAGAACACGAGCTTGATGTTCTCCGTGTCTGGTGGTTGGTCCCGTAAGCGCAGCATGCAAAAATATAAATCGGACATCGGTTGAAGTTGGTTTAGCATCACTTGTCGCACCTTCGGAAGATCAACCCGGTGTCTGACATTGACTGTCGTCACAATGACGATATGAAACGACGGTGAGAAGTCGCGACGACAACCGTTGTCTGTGCGTCGGAACTTATCGGTCGCGTGAATCTGCGCAAGAAAAACGATTTTCACCGATCAATTACCGTATAATTTCACCGTAAGTAATCATCACTTTGAATCTGACGGTAATGTTACACTTCTAATTGAAACAAGTGCACACACGGCTGTCGCGTGCGCCCGTCCCGCGGGGACACCGTGGGATGACACACCTCTCGGCTGGTGGTGCGACATGGCAGGTTGATCTTTCGACGGCGCGTTTAACACGTTCGATTACACACAGTTGGTAATATACGGAGAGAGGAGGCGCAGGCAACACATACAAGCACTGTACAAGACGCGCAACGCAACACACGAAGAGAAAAAAAAAACCCCCCGTTATGGAGAAAGGAAGCGATAAGACAAAAATGTGTCTTTGTACGCGGGAGAGCGCGCTACGCCGAGCGTCGGCTAGCTAGCCTACCTGTGGCACACGTAAAGTGGGAATAAATAATCTTTTCGCTGTCCGGATTCAGGTCAACGAACATCCTCAGGATGAATTCTCTAGCTGCTATGGCGTCTCTCTGTGGACCTGCGAAATACACAAGCGAGGGGGCGGGGCATGGCATTACTTCTGCGTTTGCTCATCCTTACCAAGTAGAAATTAAACCAGTTCCTAGCCAGAATTAACAGGCCGATAACTCTCTAACTAGCTGGTTTCTGATCAGTTTTAAACCGGCCAAAAAGGCTTACCTGTTTGGAGGATTTTTGCTTCGACAATAACGGATAGTAAAACCAGCCAGTTTCCGATCAATTCGTTCATTATTTTGTCTAATTTCTGGCTAGAAAATGGCCAAGAAACGCTAGGCAGAATTTTAAGAGTTTTTACTGAACAGAAACTGTCCAGTATTAACTTACTTATTTTTTGGAATAGTTTATGACAAGTAACTAACCAAGAAACAGTAGTTAATATATCTTTTGGATAGTTTCTGTCAACAGTTACTGTCTAATTAATTCAAGCCAGTAAAAACCGTCCAATTTCTGTCTAATGGCCAGTTCTTCCCTAACATTTTTCTACTTGGGTTCTTTCGTTACTTTCTTTCTTAATTTACCAAGCCTAGCGATACCGACGAGTCTAACGATCGCCCGACGACGACGGACGATTAACGGCGCGCATCGTCGGGATTTCGCCAGGTGCAAAATATGAGACGCGTTGGAATTTAGCCAACGCGTTTGCGAGGAAATTTTTCTTCTCATCCGTCCGTCTGTCTGTCTGTCTATCTGTCGTCTCTCTTGCTCTTCTTATCGGCCCACCTGGCCACCAACGATACCGAGTTTCCGTGTCGTGCGAAGGATAACGCGCGAACGCGAGGCTGATATATCGATCTATTTTAATGGAATAATGTTGTACTTCGCCCAAATCCAATATACTCTCTCACACACACACACACCAAGGACAGAGCTTATTGAATTAGTCGCCGTGAACATCAAAGAAGCCTCTCGGAAGCCTCTCATTAATAAGCTCGAAGACTTACGTAAGGCTGCCGTGCGCAATTTTGCAAATCTGAAACGGTCGACTGGCAGCGAGTACACTTACGGTTCGTCCAAGCACCCCGGAAATCCCGATCAGCGATCCCAGATCGAGGACGGATACACCCGGCGAGAATTTCCTACCACCCCCGACGCGATCCGCGACTTCCGCCGAGTGTATACGCGGCAATTAACAGCGAAACGTACGCGGACTGTACACGAAAAAAAAAAAAAAACAATTTCGCCGATGTAACTGAATTTTTCGTTGCCCGGGGACCAGGGGAAAACTAGTTTGTGGGAATTCGGAAATACCGGAAATTCGGTTTCCTTCGACCAAAGCACGCACGTAGTTTGTTCATTGTCACGTTAATTCGACGAATCTTTTTTCTGCGTACACGTAATCCCGAAGGGCTCGGGGTACCTTGATAAATGCTAGGGTAATCGAAATTAACAGCCCTACAAATTACTACTAGCGAGGGGATCTACGCTTCTCTGCTGCTGCAGCGTTTGGCTTCGCACGCTCAGCCGGACCGACCTGTCGCGCAGGTAAAGTGAGAGTAGCACATTCGGTCGGGATCGGGATTCGTATTGAGATACACCTTTAAGATGAACTCCCGGGCCGGTACGTCCTGTTGTTTCGGGCCTACCACAGAACTCGTTCGTTTACGTACACGATGTATTATACTTATCATCGGCAAAACGCTCGTCCGTGCCGTGTCGTTACTCACCATCGTACTCCGGAAAATAGTCGACGAGATGAGAATACATAATCTTCTCCTCCAGCAGATCCTTCTTGTTGAGGAACAGAATAACCGAGGAGTGTTGAAACCAGGGATATGTTATAATCGTTTTGAAGAGTGCTTTACTTTCCTCCATTCGATTCTGGAAAAGAAAGGGAGAGGGTTAAAGTGACGTGCCATCGGATATTAGTTGCACGTATGACAATTCGTTCGATATCGTATTCTCGAACAAATTCGATCAGATTTACAGAGTGTTGTAATTACCTCGTTTTCCGACTCGAATAGAATTTGATCATATTCACTTAGAGCTACTAGAAATATAATGGAAGTAACGTTCTCAAAACAATGGATCCACTTTCTTCTTTCGGACCTCTGACCACCGACGTCTACCATCCTGCAAATAACACGGTTCGATTAGAAATGTACGCCGTTGGCACAGCCAGTTTGAGCATTTACCCGAATGTATTCTTCTCGAATTTACAAATAAAATCAATATCCGCCGTGAATAACGAATAACCTTTCGTTCTTTCCCTCCCTCCCCCTCTCCCTCTCTCTCTCTCTTTCTCTTTTTCTGTAAATTTATGCGTACGTGAAAAAATATAAATTTAGCCTCCAGCAAAAATTTATTCGTCACTCACGGACAATTCTTTTTTTCTCTTTCAGCTTTACTCTTTCGTCGCTTCTACGCACGTTCGTGCGGAACAAAAATCGCCCGACTCTGACATTCACGAAACCCATATTCGCTATTCTCAATCATCACTGTGTAATTACAAACAATGTCAATGGAAACTCATTACCATGCACAGTAACATCGGCACAGAACGACCTATAGAAAACATGCAAACGTCCAAGCGCCTCAAAAAGTGCTTGCATTCAAGGGATTGTATGTAACTCAACGTTTATTAGCTCTGTTCTGTCCCTCCTCCTGCCCGACGAAATCAGAAAGGGAATGTATAAAAAAAAAAAAAAAAGAAAATAAAAAAAACTACTCGACGACTTCTTAAATGTTACAACATTCAATCTCTAATACCTCCTTGCAATTAACTGTCGCGATAAGATCGAAGTAACAGATAAATTCAATGCATCTCACAATGATAATAGCGCTACGGAAGTCTTTTAAATCCACGAGCTCGCGACTAAGTGGCCGAAAAGTTCTCTAGAAACTAAGTCTCAACTTAAATTTTAACCACAAGCAGATTCCGTCATTCATTTCTACACTGACCGATCTATTTTTTCAACGAATTTTCGATCACACGTGTATAACTGAGAGGGGAAAAAATTGCAGCATTCTTGCGAATAGAAAAATCTGTTTTAAATCAACCAAAAGAAAGAAAAAAAAAACTTGTAAATATCTTAACGTCTCCTCAACTTCGCACGAGGAACACGTCCATCGGCATTCATTGTCGTCCCTCGTGCGGAGCGTTGCTCTTTCTCTCTCTCTCTCTCTCTCTCTCTCTCTCTCTCTTCGGCGACTTCGAAGATGTAACGTATAATCGGGCTGAATTAGGCGTTAATACCTAAATATGATGGAGTCCAGATCAAACGGATACTCTATAATGCCGGTGGTGGGAGCTCGTGCCCGGAGGATGTCTTGCTCGGTCGGAAGGAAATCAGGCTTTTCGATACGGTCTAGGTCACTAAGATAACTGCAAAACAAAGAAAGCCACTGTCGGGAGGTGTGCATGCCATGCGTGGTAATATATTTAACGAGAGTATATAAATAATCGTAAAACACAATAATAAGAAATTCTCAGGTGTATGGAGAAGACAGCTCGCACACATGCTTTGCTCGTCCATCGCCTCAGCCTGAAAGAGTTTTCCAACCGATGCCGCGAGTCCAGCAACTTGCACTTCGCTACCTTTATCTATGCCTCTTTATCTTTGCGCGTCTCCCTTATCTCGCGTTCCACGTGTACAAAATTATGCAGGTCAGGCTTTAATCTGATGGTTTTAAAAAAACAAAGAAACAAAATAGAATAAAGTGTATTTCGATAAGCGTTTCGACGACGTTTCACCATTTTCCTGTCCGCCGGTTTCGATACGATATTGAAAACACGGAAAGAGGTCGATTCGCGATTCTTCGCCTCTGTCAGAAGGGAGAAATCAACGAAATTTGGAGCAACAATCGTTACAGCCATTTCTCACAAGTCGCGCTCATAGACGCATGTATAAACGCGCGCGCGCGAAAGAAAGTCACAGGACTCGAATCGGCATCGTGAGCGAGGGAAACAGGCGAACACTTAAAGAAACAAATCGGGTACAATCAGGTCCCAGGAGTGCGCAGCGACAGTGAATCGGTACACGTAGTCGCAAGAGACAGAGAGGGTGGTATATTATGCAGAAACGGTCCGATGCGGGGGTGGTGGTGGGTGGTGGTTTCGCAGGCGCAGGCAGCTCGTTGCTTCTTTTCTCTCTCTCTCTTTCTATGTCTCGCTCGTCACCGTCCGCGACGGGGAGAGACACACGTACCTAAATCGGATCTCTTCCAAGTCAAAGGGATACTCAATTATACCGGTGGTGGGCACTCTCACACGAAGAATGTCCTGTTCTGTTGGGAGGTAGTTAGGTGCCGCGACTCGATCTATCTCCATTAGGTAACTGAAACATCGTGTTCTCAATACCCCGGAAAGTACGGCGAGACCACCGTTACACGTTGTTTAAGAGGTGTGAGGAGATGGGAGAGGAGGGGGGGGGGGGGNTACATTTTTCTCGACAAGTTCAATAGGAGAATTTGTTTCTTAGTAATTCTCAGAAGATACATTTTCCCGTTGGATACGAGATACTTTGTGAAACTTATCATAAAAGAGAAATAATGTTGCAACCTTTAATCATGCTGATTGTGTGTGTGTCCATCATCGATGGTACACGCAGAACGTTCCATTCAGGCCAGTTTGATCTCTTGGCTCCAAAATAACGAAATATAATCATGAAATACTCTGATAATTATTGAGCCGCGTATTATTCGATACAAATGAAATTGTCAAATAGAACTCGTGGCAGAACAACGTGAATCACCGGGCCACGAGAAGCCGCGTGCAATCAGTCCGGTACGTGCTGATTAACGACGGGAAATGAGCCATCCCGTTCGAGGGCTCTTGGTTTTTCCGAAACAACGTGAGTGTTCATTGGAACGGAAACGAAAAGCGTCCCGGAAATCGAGGATCGAGGGATCCACGGAACGACGAGAACGGAAACCGCGACGGACACGAGGCATTCCGTGGAAACGATCTCATAAGACTCTAACGTCGCGAAGACGCGACGCAGAATTTCAGGGTAATGTCGGAGGATGGGTGGGAGGAAAGCTGGGAGGAGGCAGGAAGGAGAATGGGAGAGGGGAAGGAAGGAAGGACGGAAGGAAAGAAAGACAGACGGACGGATAGAGCATAATCATTTCTCGGTCGACGATAAGACACGTTATACGAAGGAATGCGCCGACGCGCGGCCAGCGCACGGCCAAAATACTCACTACTTGGCGGAGTCCGTGAGCTGGTATTCCCGTCTGCGATCGTAGCACTCCTGTATACCGGCGTCCGCCCACAGATCCTTGATCGCCTCCACGTACGGGCTCTCGAACGTCGTCACTGTCTCGAAGTCTACGCTCCGGACGAGTTCCGCTTTTTCCTGAAGGCGAGAGAGGAAGTGTCATGAGTATCGAACAGCGAGAAAAAAAGAGGGGGGAGGGGGAGGTGTGAAGAAAAAGACAAGCCTATTGTGTGTGTGTATGTATGTATGTATGTATGTATATATATATATATATATATATATATATTTCCGGTACGATATGTATTATGATATTGGGATATAAGTCGGTTATCGTTATCGTTCAACCCTCCGATACCGGCGCGGTTTAATTAACTCTTAAGTGTGCGGTGGCTTGACCTACATACGACAGAGACTCGCGGGGCTCGAGACGCGTTCGGTGTCACCGAGGAAAAAGTGCTCGGTATATATGACTATAATCGCATAGTGAAGCGATTACAGTCAGGAGGAAACCGGTTGTTGCAGTAGTAGGTGGTGCCGCTACAACGTTATTGATAATAACGCGTATACATGTATTGCAATTATTATTTTTCTTGTCAGAACAGCAAAGAGATATAATTAGAAACTTGACTGCAAACGACTATGATTGACCAAAAATGACTGTGATCTGTGGTGTGACTGACAATTATTTCTCTCGGTGTGTAATAATCACGCTGAGAAAAAGATTATGGTATTTGTAACTGTAATCTATAAGTGAAAGAATGATCGCCAGGAGGGTCATTATTTTTAGTATTACTACGGTGTGTTAATGATAATGATTTTATATACGTATTATTACTAGTAAAGTACTTGTATTAGTGTACAAATTTTTATACCGAAAGTAAAGTATTTTCAAATAAGATGACATTCTTAGTCCGCAGCTTTTTTATAGATATAAGAAAATATAGTTCGAGCCGAAAGTAACTATAAACTCGGTGGAATTGGGAATTGGAACATTAGAATGTGTGTTATACGTACTATATTCGAGGAGTCGCCATACTGGATCTTCAGGAGGTCCATCGCCCGGATCATCGATTGCATCGCCATGAAAATGTTTTGATACACGAGTTTGATGAACCCTCTCTTATCCTCGTCCGAGTAGCCGGAACCGTGGATGATCCTCATCTGCTTAATGAAGGTGGACTTGCCGGATTCGCCCGTACCTGCGACAAAGTTTCAGGCTCGATTGGTTTGCGCCGTACGAGTAAACAGGACGGGTGGCTGGTAGCTCGCGCTTTAGAGCTTATCCGAAACGAATCCTCCGCTGATGCGGAGTGCGCGAGAAACACCGCGAGCAAACACGTGTCTAACACGCGGAACGTCTCTCGGCGCCGCTCAAAGAGTATGCACGTGCACGCACCTCGTCTTCCTAGCTCGGGAAGGGTTAAATGTCGCTTAATGCGTTATCGTTCTATCTTTATCGGGATAGCAAAGTTCAAAGTTCTCGAGGATCTCAACCCGCCGCTCGGGAAGCTTAAAATACCGATTCCACGCCGCCTCCGACCTCCGTCCGGAAGCGAGGAAAATTTCACGATAAATCACCGGCCGCCGTAAACTGAAAAAAAAAGGCGGACTTGGTGGTAGAATTAACGCGACATGACGCAACTAAGCGCGTTTCGGTGGGAGGAAGCGGAATTGCCGGTTCTCAGGAACCAAATATGGCTCGTAACGACCAAATATTCGGTTTCCTACAGGCAAAACGCGCTCGGTTGTCTCTCTCTCTCTCTCTCTCTCTCTCTCTCTCTGATACGTCACTCTCTAAATTTCCCAGAGTGAAGTCTCACTTGAGAAGTAGAGTGACCACCGAGTCGCTCGAATTCCAATGACTTTTCGCTCATTCGGAGTGAATTTTCCACTCGGAGTCGTCGAGTGAATCCAATGTATTTCCACCGTCACGGGAACATGTCTGCTCCAATCGATCGAAATATTCGCACGGAGTCAGAATTTACTTTAAGCTTGAGTGAAATATTCACTCTCTTGCGATTGCGAGTGGCGATATTTTCACTATCGTTTCATTGTCGCAAGAAAATATATCTTATATATACATAACTTTTGTAGATCTCGTATAGATTTATTTGTTTATGTTGTATTAAAAAATGAAAACTTTGGTCGGATTTGCCTAATAATGGATATTTATTGTAAGAGCCAATGTTTAGTTCTTTTGGGTTCATAAGAACTAAACATTTTATTTCTTTCAATTAAAACGCATCTGGTTGCCCGTTATCGCAACTAGAAAAAAATACTAAAAAATTTATTTGTAGAAAATACAAAGTTTATTTCGCAAAAATAAACCTTATTTTCTATCATACAATCCATAGAGAAATTTTCAAATATTTTTTCTCAGTGCAGGTAGATCCGGCCAAGCTCTATTTTCAATGTACATAGATACCTTGTCCTAACCTCTTCATCACCGTCGATCGTTTTCGCTCCATCGAGCGTATACACCGTCCCTTTCGTTCGTGGAAGCATGGGAATCCACTGCGAGAAATCTCGAGGACACTTTGATTCAACCAATCCTTCCTTCGCTCCGCGCATTTCTTGCTTATTACTTATCCCGATTAATTGAACGTGCGATTCGGATGCCAGTCGCGAGTTACCGTTCGCGAAACGAACTCTCGAAACCACCGATCTCCCCCGGCCTGCGCATGCGCGTCTCGGATTTGGACTCGCCGCGTTCGTAATCAGCGGCGCGCCGGAACGATCGTTTTCATCGCTTTTCCGCGCGGACCTCCACGAATCGGGGAGAGCACGTCGTCCGCCCCTGGAAACTCCGGGGCGACTGCTACGCCAGCCGGATGGAGGCGGGAGGGAGTTCACGGCGGCGGCGAGGGGTGAGCGTCGCGAGAGCGCATCGCGAAACTCCGTCGTTGCTCGCGAAATCATGAATGAAAGCGGTCGCGCGCGGCCGGCGCGGTGTGTAGCATCGTCTTGTTTAAACAGCGCGGCTGCTGTGTCGCGACGGCGGTGCGCACAGTTCGGCCCTCTCACCGGGATTCGGGCAGGACAGCGATTTGTGCTGGTCGAATTTCGTTGCATTAGCTGCGTTCGCCGGAACAAACCTATCAGTGAAGGCGAACGGTGATCATTCATTTTCTCTAATTTTGTTTCCCGTTAGATCCTCAAATTTAGACCAATCACGTTGACGAGTTACTCAACCGTTGCGCAACTCTCGTGTTTTCCAAACGCAGCCAATGAAAGAGCTCGGAAGTAGCCTCCGAGGAGGGAGCGGCTCGGACCGTTTTGAACAGGTTCGTAGAGTCCGAAGAGTTCGCCGGGTCACGAAGATCAGTGATGTTCGAGAAAATTCGCGCGAACGAAAATTGCACCTGAATCGATCCCTCGTCGCGTACGACAGGCCACCCGGCGGGTGGAGGAGAAAGAGAGAGAGAGAGAGAGAGAAAGAGCTTTTTATGCACGTCGCTAAGAAAAGATGCTTCGCGCGCCCACAAACACACCTTTCTTCGCTTTAATGAGGATGCAAAAAGGCCACCGGGCACGGGATACGCCTTTATCGATAAAGGCGCGCAAGTGTGTCATCAATCGAAAATACACGCGCGACACCGCGAACCCGTGGGCTTTTCGATCGGGTATAACTTTGCGTCGTAATGATAAAGGGGGAAGAGAGGGAGGGAGATGGAGAGAGGTAGAAAGAACGAAGGAAAAAGAGGACGGCCTCACGTCGAAATAATGACAAATTCGTCACTAAATAATTAAAACTCGTCCGACGAGATTCCTTTCGCTCGTTAATTTTTACGTTATCATTGTTACCGTGATGTTATCGTCGGTGCCCTCCGAATTTCTTGATTGTGAAATCTCTCGCACGAAGCGAGATAATGAATATTGGCTACTCGGGATCTCTCACGGGAGTGAACGATTAGCTCGGGCTTAAAGTGGATTCTTAATTTATACGAATTGAACGTTTCGGTCGACCGGAGTGAATTTCTGCTCGAAAATTAGAATAAATCGGAATAAATTGGAATAAATCCCGATTAAAATAACTCCTGTGAGATGGGGGGGGGGGNCGAACGAAGATATTCGCTCACGACTCGAGAGGGGATTCAGAGTGGAGAAGTCACACTCTGCGAAAAGTCGCTCGAACTTTGAGCGATTCGTCTGTTACTGTGAAGAAAAAAAATTTCGAGTGTCCCAAAAAATCGGCTCATTCTTGAGCCGCAACTCCTCGACGCGAATCCCCGACGATTATTTGAGCGATGATGAAACTCACACGTGCGACAATAGAGCGCGATTATGCGATACACGCGGTAATCGCAGTATTCGTCACGCTTGGTGTTTGGTTAAGTGTTCAAAGGTGTTCACCTCCGAATCTTCGTCTGCACGTGAAGTTATCGTCACTATCGTCGATCAACGTCAACAACGACGACGACGATGATGATTGCTGACCCGATAATCGTCGCGCCGATTTTCTCACGGTCGCGATCTCGCGCGCGCGCACGCGAACCTATCGTGCATCGAATGTTGTTAACACGTTGAATACCGTGACGATCATCGGAGACGCGCTATTAGACGCCGCGTTTCATTGAGTTACGTATAGAGCATAATTAATTGCATTCGAAGGACAGGCTCACGTCGAGGTGATAAAAAATTCATCGGTCATTCGTCTTACATCCGTGAGGTTGCCTCCGCTCGTTGGTCTTTCGTATCGTTATTATATCGTTATTGTCGCGTTGTTATCGTTAGTATCCTGAGCAATCTTGAAAATTCCATTGAAAAAATCGACTGTAAGGCTGAGTGAAAGAGAAAGAAAAAGAAAGAAGCAAGATAAAAGACATGCGCTTCAAGTTACTTTTATACAGAGAAAAAGACCTCTTTGGCTTTGATAACATTTTTGTAATTGAAACAAATCTGTCTTTTGGAATAGAGAAATAATAAGCGGATATTTGATTCAACAGACAGGATTGTTTGGTTTCTCAAACAATATCTTTACGTCAAATATTCCTTTTATATTTTCATCCAAACATTACAATGATTATCGTAAACAACATATTATTTGAGAGGTATAACACTATGTCAGAAAATTATTGAAGAATCTCTTTTGGTTTCAGTAGAAAAATATTGAATGTATAACGAAACAGCTGTATAACAAATTGTTTCTTTTTTTACTAAAAATCAAGTATCGTTTCCCCTAAATAATATCGTGTCGAATGACCGATGAATTTTTTATTATCTCGACGCTGTCCTTCGAATGCAATTAATTAGCTCTGTACGTCAACTCAACGAGACGCGGCGGCATAATAGCGTCGTTCTCTGGCTTTCCATCAGAGGCGTGTTACAGGTGTGCGATCGGGGTTCATCGGGGATGATTTCGCGGCGAGCGGAAATTCCGCGGATCGAAGCCGACAACACACAAGTGATGATCCGAGAGATCTAGTTTCATCTTTAATATCGAGCGACGCGCTCGCGAACGAAGTCAATTAGCGGATGTCGGTTCGCGCGTGACACCACCGGTTATCAGCGGCGATTTCGCGGGACCGCCGAGATGATCCACGTTGGACGAGCGAGGGGGAGAAAAAGGATGAGGGTAGGGGGAGGACGGGCGCGCGCGCGAACAGAGTTAATGAATGAACGGGAACCTCAGGGTGGGCGGGGCACACAGCGGCGGCGGCACGGGACTCTTCTTCCGGTATTCCTTCAACGACGTAATAAGCCAGAAAACCGGAACTCTCGTTCGACCTCGCGGGGAGGAGGCGGAGGAGTCTTCGACCACCCTCTGCGCGGAATGATTTCCCCTCCGCGCGGGGAGGAGGAGGAGGAGTGCGTTGACTCCTCCTGCGGTTTATCGAGAACCCAATCGGACAGTCAACGCGCGAATTTTCCCAGAACGCATTTCCCGACTCTGACACGTCCGGTTTCCCAGCGACAGTTTCCGAAGATCGCGATCGGAAGCGGTGTGAGGGGCACCGGGCTCGCTCCCGATTCGGATTACGAGGTGCAACGAGGAGTCTTTCTCTCTCTCTCTCTCTCTCTCTCTCTCTTTTCTCGCGCAAATCTCGGAGATCTCGTCAATGCTGAGCCAAGATAATCTCAGCCCCGGCTGGGTCGTCCCCTTTCCGAAGGTCGCTTTCCGCTCTCCTCGTCGTGGTCCTCGTGAGGCCGACGGCGACGAGCGCCACTTCGCCGCCCTGCGAGGACCACAACGACGTTC